GGGGGGGGGGGGTACTCATAGTCGTGCATGCCGCAGTCGTCGTTAGATCATTGACCTCGCATACATGCTGCAGGGTTGATTGACGTGAGGTAATTCAACGTGTTTTTCAACGAAATTTGGCTTGGGTGTGGCATTCGAACGAGAACGAATGACAGCAGCTACAACGGCAGACATCATGTTGTCATCACCAACGCCAGAACCAACAACAACAACAACAACAGCAGCAGCAGCAGCAGCAGCAGCAGCAGCAGCAGCAGCAGCAGCAGCAGCAGCAGCAGCAGCAGCAGCAGCAGCAGCAGCAGCAGCAGCAGCAGCAGCAGCAGCAGCAGCAGCAGCAGCAGCAGCAGCAGCAGCAGCAGCAGCAGCAGCAGCGGCAACGACTACACCGACAGCAGCAACAACAACGACAACCACACAACTATCATCAACGCCAGCAGCAACAACAACGCAGGCAACAGCAGCGACGACAACAACAACATTGACACCACCATCACCAACGCCAGCAGCACCAACGAGCAGAGCAAGGTACCTTCTGGGGCTTCCCCCTAGTGCGGCCGCTGCCTCCTCCGAGGGCCAAACGCTGTCCGCCTGGTGTGCTCGCTGGGAAGCCAGTCTTCTCCAACACGAGCCACGGACGGAACAACATAGTTGAGGGGGGGGGGGGGGTACTCATAGTCGTGCACGCCGTAGTCGTTNACCAAGCGCGAAGCGCCGTGAGATATTCGGCGAGTCGCATGAAGGGTGCGCTGCATCCTGTTGTTAAGGGTGTTCAGCATGTTGTGCTTACTTCCTTGCATACGGGTGACAGCTGCAGATGACTTAATTTATTTTCTGGTGCTTTCACTTCCAGAGACAGTTGTAAGCACTGTGTATCTGCCTCGAGGGTGTTTGACCATACTAACACAACGTGGTGCGATCATCCCCCTTGCGCGGAGTGAGGGTTTTCGACCCCGCACAACATGATCTACTCGACCACCATTATAGTTACCGCCAAAAAAAAACCGGAGGTAAAAAAAAAACCGGTAACCTGGTTGCCGAGTTCACGAAGTGAATTGGCTTGTTTGACAGCGTCGTTGCCAAGCAACGAAAATCCAATCCCGGTGGCAAACACCGAGGGTGGGGCTTGTTTGACAACGTCATTGCCAAGCGACGAAAACCCGACCCCGATGGCAAACACCGGAGGGGCGGCGGCTCGGGGGGGGGGGGGC